CAGGTGGGGATTCAGGATCTATGCAGTGGACAACCCTGTGCTGAGCTGTCCCCTGGACCCCCACCACACCAGACCTTGCCTAGTGTGGCCTCCCATCTAGTAGGGTGGGGCCAGACATAGGAGGGAAGGGTCAGGACCCCTCGAGGCAGGGAAGTCAGGAGGGGCTTCCCGGAAGAGGTGCGGGGCCTTCAAGCTGAGTTCTGAAGGTGGGGGAGGGGAGACGCATTTGTGGCAGAGGGACCAGGTGTGGAAACAGAGCAGCCTGGAAACAGCCCCCCAGGCTCTGCGCGTTGCGAGGGGCAACAGTGGACTGAAAAGCCGGTCGTTCCACTGATGAGGACGGAGGCTGCCCCTGGCCCAGAGACATGTATGTGGCTCTGCGGCCCTCACCTGCCAGTGTGGTTTAGATCCGCAAAGGTCAGACGCAGAATTCAGTGCAAGCTCCCCATTGCTAAGTGGACTGCATCGCCAAAGACATGCCAGATCCTGGGCAGAGGGCACCTTGAAGTCGGAGCCCTTTGATTTCTCCTCTTGGCGGAGGGGAGGCTGCTCAGAGGAGGCCGGAAGCTCAGGGGAGGTCTGCACAACGAGGCAGAGGCAGGTCACCGTGTAGGTCGGGGCGGATCGCCCCTGCACAGCGCAGCAGCCCCTCCACGCTTCACGGGCTCCATACACAGCTGGCTTTTCCTCCTACGGTGTTTGCTGAGGAAACTGGGTTATTGTAGCAGTTTGGCCCAGGCCTTGGACCGGGGGCTCCGGGTTTGGCTGACGCTGTGTGATCTGGAGGTGGGTGTGTGCAGAGGAGCGGAGAGATGTATCAGGTGAGGCGAAGGGGGAGAAAGCCTGGGCCGTCCCCTCGCCTCCCGCTCCAGTTCCTGCTGCGCCTGATCGCCACTTGATCTCATCTCTGCCCTTGCTGGAAGCGGGGATGGAGGCGGCCAGCTTCTCCCCTCAGACACGGTGTGGAAGGCCAGCTCCCCCGCTCCATCCCACCCTCGCTCTCGAATCTCAGAGAGCAGCTTCCTGTCCTTGCTGGAGCCCCCTCTGCAGAGACCTCATGCCCTGGGCACCACGTGGCAGCCCCTAGTTCCTGCACAGTTGGTTGGAAGGGCCTAGTTCTCACAAGTGCACCCAGCAGTGGTCCATGGGGTAGCTCGTGAATGAATGAGACCCTGTGGTGCCTGAGTCACCAGCGGGTCGTTCAGTGCCGCCTTTTGTGGTCAGCCGTGTTGCCCAGTGCACATTTATACACCCCCTAGGGCTTCACTCAGCTCTGCCACTTCCACCTATCGCTCTGAACCTCAGCGTCCTCATCTGTAAAATGGGCTTGTCGTGAGTATTAGAGATGACGGACACAAAGTCTCAGCCAGTGCTCAGCACATAGCTGACTTAGTAAGTGGTTGCTGCCATTTTACCACGTGGGAGTGTCATGAGAACTAAACAAAATGTATGTGAAGGTGCCCATGCAGTGCCTGGCATGGAGGAGGCACTCGGCCAGTATTTACTGAGTGCTACCATGTGTCTGGCATAGCGCTGGGCACAGGGAAACCATGGGAAGCAAAAACTGATGTATCTGCTGCCTTTAAAAGTTTACAAACTACGGGCCGGCCCGGTGGCGCACTGCTACAGTGCGCCGCTTGGGAGCGCAGCGGCGCTCCCG